GAAAATACATCGCTCACTACGAGGTTCGAGTTTGTCATGAGTCTCTCGTCTTACGAAAACCTCACACCCCCAAACCTTGATATGTGCCAACGAGGGAGCCTTCCCTGTCCACATTTTGTGAGGTGTTTTGGCAACCTTCTTTGTAGGGACTCGGTTAAGGATATGGGCGGAAGTCTCTAAGGCATACCCCCAAAATGAGATAGGTCGTGAAGCACGACTCATCATAGAATGGACTATGTCTAACAGGGTTCGATTACACCTTTCTGCCACACCATTAAATTTCGGTGTCCTGGGTGGCGTCAATTGCGAAACTATTCCGTATTCCTTGAGATAGTCGTGGAATTCAAGACTTACGTACTCTCCTCCTCGATCGGATCGAAGCATCTTGATTTTCCTGCCCAATTATTTCTCCACTTCATGCTTGAATTCTTTGAACTTTTCAAACATTTCTGACTTGTTCTTTATTAAGTAAATATACCCATATCTACTATAATCATCAATGAAAGTCACGTAGAAGCAGTTCCCATCCTTTGTGGTGGATCTAAAGGGCCCACATACATCGGTATGTATGAGATCCAATAAACCCTCACCCCTCTCACAAATGCCAGTGAAGGGTGACTTGGTCATCTTTCCAAGTAAACAAGATTCGCACGTGTCATCTTCCCTAAGGTCGAATGACTCTAACACTCCATCCTTTTGGAGTTGGGCTATACGCTTCTTGTTCACATGTCCAAGATGATAATGCCACAAACATGCTTTATCCATACTATTGGAAGAATCCATACACAACACATCATTTTCTAGGTTATCTACAACCATAACAGTTTCATAAATTCCATTACAAGGCATTGCTTCAAAGTATAAAACACCATTTAGATAAGCATAAATAGAACCATTCTCATTATTAAACGAATATCTAAATCCTTGTCTAAACAAACCATGAAACGAAATGATGTTTGTTGTCATATCTGGCGAGTAGCAACAATTATTTAAATCTAAACCTAATCCATTACTAAACACTAGAGAATACACTCCAATCTTGGTGACAGGTGATGATCTTCTATTTCCCGTGATTAGATTTATTCTTTCATGCTCCACATCCCTATTTCTTCGTATTCCCTGCAAATCAGAACAAATGTGGTAACCACATCCTGTATCAAGAACCCAAGAAATAGCATGAGATGAATCATTATATTTAATTGTGTAAATACCTGCGAAAGACGGCTTGATCTTCCCATCCATGATGGCTTGCAGATATTCCAGGCAGCTTCTCTTCCAATGCCCTATTTTGTGGCAATGGTGGCACTCTGCCACCTTTGGGTTAGAGTTGGGCTTAGTAGGGCAATCTTTGGTCCCACTAAAAGAGGAACCATCTTGGGACTTTCCCTTGTGGTGGCTCTTTGACGGAGCCTTCCTCTTCTTGCCCCTTCTTTGCCCAATTGCCAAAACAGTAGCAGCGGGTGGAGCGGGAGTCGGTGCAACAGACTTTTCCTTGAGGTTGCTCTCAGCAGTCCTTAGGAGCCATTGGAATTTACTTAGGGTCACCTCTTCCTTGTTCATGTGGTAGGTCATCCTAAATTGGTTGTAGCATGAGGGCAATGAGTGAAGAACAATGTCGATGGCCAAATCATCACCAAAGTTAACATTTAACTTGCAAAGACGATCAACATATCTTTACATCTTTTGCAAGTGCACGGTAAGAGATTCTCCACTTCCCATTTTAACGATGATCATGTTTGTGATGATCTCATAGCACTCTTGCCTCGCGCTTTGGTGGTACCTCTCCATTAAGTCTTGATGCATTTCATACGGATACCTGTCCTCATAGGACTTTTGGAATTCTTGGTTCATAGTGGCTATCATGATGCAATGGACTTTCGTTGCATCACGTTCGTAGGTCTCAGAGACAACAATTTCTTTTGGAGTAGCGATTTCTGGATTGATCTTCTCGAGCTTCTCATCGAGGACATACTCCCTGTCCTCGTAGCGCTCAATCGTGCAAATGTATCTTATCCATTCGCTAAAGTTCGATCCATCAAAAGTCACTTTTTGACAAATAATCATTAGCGTGAATGAGTTAGCAAGAGCGTTGTTCACGTTAGCCATCTACAAATAGAAAGGACAAAGTTTGATTAGAATTGAATCTGTAATTAAACACCCAAAATGAAAAATTAGGGCTAGGATCCAACAACATTATTTACATATTAGAAAAGGGATGCCGTAATCCAACATGCAAATAATTTGAGGTAAGTGAATGACGATTCACTAATTCTTCACCATGAAAAACATAAGCTTAAGTTTTAAATGTTTTT